AGAGAGAGAGACAGAGAGAGAGAGAGAGAGAGAGAGAGAGAGAGATAGAGAGAGAGAGAGAGAGAGAGAGACGGACAGAAAAACAGAGACACAGAGAGGAGGAATGGGGAGGATTACTAGCACATGTGCGTGTGTATTCCACCATGCTTAATTCCGGCTGGTTGTATTATGTGTATCTTTGAGCGCGTGTGAATGTGTTTGGCTATGAATTGGTATGCATGTTATAGTATGTGTAATGTGCCTTATCTAATAGATGACCTATACGCTGTCGTGGAGATGTTCCTTGGTTCGATAACCACCTGCTTTTGCCAAAATAGACCAGGGCAAATACTGAAAAGACGAAGATGCAGCATACCTATTTGCACACATTGTATGTGATCGTACCAAGGATATTAAAAATCAGCACTCTGTATTCTGGGGGGAATAAAACCAGGCACTCGGAAAGAAACAGGTACTTATTAAGAAAAACGATGCAGTGTTTTAATAAATACCCTATATTATTGCAAGAACAGCAGGGATACCATCACTACCACCACAAAAAACGACAACAACAGCAACATATAAATTACCGAGCTCCTGTTTGGTGTTCTCTCCGTCTCTTTGTAAGTACCATTTAATAATGTGTCCGATATAGCAATACATATTGTTTTATTGTGTATTATTTTCCCCAAGTCCAGCAAAGACAGTGGGGATGGGGGTGGAGCATTTTCTTTGTCTGATCGAAGGCTACATCCCACTCCACCTAAGATGGCCCTACTGGCAAGAGTAAAAGCTGCCAGCCTCCTAATAAATGATCGAACTTGTGCCAAAGGGAAACTTATATTATCAATTACCTTGAATCAATCATTATTTTCCTCAGCATTTACGGAGGGCCAGCTGAACACACAGGAGAATGCGGACGAGATGGCCCATAGCTTGGCCGTATCCTGGGACGTCATCACAAACACTCAGGAGGTCATGACGTACCAAGTGGAGGTAACGCTGAAAAACTGGGGCAAGACGCTCACTCTGAGTAGCGGCCCCTGGCAGATTTTCTTCGACAGCATCTTCATGATCGAGCCAGACCTTCTCGGGATTCGCGGGAACAAAGGGGCGGAGCTTCCAGGTCAAGATGTCAGGGTTACTCATGTGCAGGGAAGTCTTTTCTACTTTGAGCCAACGCAGAACTTCGCCGCCCTTCCTCCAGGTGGGATGAGGAAGATCAAATTCAAGGTACGCTGACTCCTTTCTCCAAAACAGCTGAAGGTCTTCTTTAGTTTTGCTTTCTTTGTTGTTGTTGTTGTTTTAGTTGCTCTTTAAATGTAGGCCTCGGTGTTTTACACCTTCATAGACACAATTTATATTCTTTAGGTGGAAGGCATCTGACCCTACCTGACAGGGCCAAACCTGGCTGAAAGGGATACAACTTTCCAGCAAAAAAAACAAGCGAGATACTCGATAAAAATTATCTGCATTCGGCCCGGAATAGAACTCAGGTCTCTTACGTGCGACAGCGAAGCGCCCAACCTCTATATCACAGACGCTGGTCACAACAGCTGTGTCTACCTCTGGCGTGTTTCAGTCCTGAGGAACGGTTGATTTATATATAT